ATCAGTTTGAAATTTTTGTGGCGAGTTTGACTGCCGATAATGGTTTGGGATTCTCGGATACTGATTTAACTCCAGCCAGAAGAAATCACAACAAGGCTTTACATGTATCTATGGAATGCAAAGGAACCACTCTAGCCAATGTATTGGTGGATACTGGGTCCTCTCTAAATGTATTACCCAAGGGTTCCCTAGATCGGTTGGATTGCGAAGGTTTGGTGTTGAAGCCAAGCGACATAGTGGTAAGTGCTTTCGATGGATCAAAGAGGATGATACATGGAGAGGTCGACCTCCCCATCAAAGTTGGTTCTCAAACTTTCAAATCGACTTTCTAGTGATGGACATCCATCCTGCCTACTCTTGCTTTCTTGGACGCCCTTGGATACATGGGGCAGGAGAGGTGACGTCCACTCTTCATAAAAAAATTAAATATCTAGTCAAAGGAAAGATCGTTACTGTCTGTGGTGAAGAAGAGTTTATGGTTAGCCACCTGGATTCATTTAAGTATGTTGAGATAGATGGGGAGTTCATAGAAACTCCTTGTCAAGCCTTCGAAGTGGTCTCTCCCATGGTTGCTACTGCCAAGGCTACTCCTGATGTTCCAAAAGTTGTTAAATATGTGCCTAGGATGGCTTCCCTCAAAGATGCCCATGCTTTGATTCAAGACAGAGGTTTTACCATATGGGGACAACTACTTGACATCTCTTTCAAATCATAAAAAAGTGGTTTGGGTTTCACTGCCAAATCCCAAAAGGAGGTTAGACGTGCTCGCATAGGAAAACCACCTCTTCGCATCAGTAATCATGAAGGGAATGCTCTTGAAGACTCCGATAATGACTGTGACTTTGATGACTGGATCTACCCGACTCTTGAGGAATGAATCAACAACTGGCATGCCAAGGATTTCATTCCCATCTCCTTCAATAAGGAGTAATTACCATTGACTGTTTTATTAATTTAATAACTTTGTCTGTAATTTTAATTAAAACAATGACTTTAAGCCATGTGCCATACCCGGGGCACCATAGTCCATTTGTTAAGCGTTTGTTCATTTTCATATGCCATATGATCATTTAATGAAAAAACATTGGACTCTTTTGCATTCAAATTTTGTGCTCATTGTCTTTCTTTAACTTTATTGCATTTTCAAAATAGCCATGTATCTTACATGCACACACACACACACACATTTGCAGATCCTCATCCACTTCGGGTCTCGTTGACAACGACTCTTCTATTTCCACCTATGAATTTGAACATCCAATCTACCAAGCTAAAGATGAAGGCGAGGAAGATTATGAAATACTTGGGGAATTAGCCAGACTTCTGACGCAAGAAGAAAAAGCCATTCAACTGCATGAAGAGCCAATTGAAGTGATTAACCTGGGTACTGAGGCAGATAAGAAAGAGGTCAACTTGGAAGACGGTGTCAATGACAGATTGATCCAGATTTTGCATGACTATGTTGAGGTGTTTTCTTGGTCATATGAAGATATGTCCGGACTTGATACTGGCATTGTGGTTCATCGTCTACCAACAAAGGAAGATTTTCCTCCAGTCAAGCAAAAAGTTCGTCGTATGCGGACATACATGTCTGAAAACATAAAAGCTGAGGTAATGAAGCAATTCAATGCAGGTTTTCTAACAGTAACGTCATATCCCCAATGGGAGGAAAATATGGTCCCCATGCTAAAGAAGGACAGAAAGGTCCGTATGTGTATAGACTATAGAGATTTGAATAGGGTAAGCCCCAAAGATGACTTCCCACTATCGCATATTGACGTCTTGGTCGATAACACTGCTCAACATAAAGTATTCTCCTTCATGGATGGCTTCTCTGGCTATAATCAAATCAAAATGGCTCCCGAAGACATGGAGAAAACCACTTTTTTTACACAGTGGGGAAATTTTTGTTACAAGGTCATGCCTTTCAGTTTGAAGAATGCAGGTGCAACCTATCAATGAGCTATGGTAGCCCTATTTCATGACATGATCCATCATGAGATAGAAGTCTATGTGGATGATATGATTGCAAGGTTGCATACTGAGGAAGAACACCTGGATCACTTACATAAATTGTTTGAAAGATTGAAGAAATACAAGTTAAGGCTGAATCCTAACAAATGCACCTTCGGGGTAAGATATGGGAATCTCTTAGGGTTTGTCGTCAGTGGAAAAGGTATTGAGGTCGACCCTGCAAAAGTCAAAGCCATACAAGAAATGACAACTCCCTGTACTGAGAAGGAGGTCATGGGTTTCTTAGGTTGACTTAACTACATCGCTCGATTCATATCTCACTTGACTGCTACTTGTGAGCCAATCTTCAAACTCTTAAAGAAAGATTAAGTAGTAAGATGGAACGATGACTGCCAAGCAGCCTTTAACAAGATCAATGAATACTTATAAGAACATCCCATCTCGATGCCTCCGGTTGAAGGAAAACCTCTGATTATATACTTGATTGTATTAGAGAATTCAATGGGGTGTGTGTTGGGCCAACATGACGAGTCTGGCGGAAAAGAGAATGCAATATACTACCCGAGCAAAAAGTTTACCGACTGTGAAACAAGATATTTACTGCTCGAGAAAACTTGCTACACTCTGGCATGGGCTGCTCGCCGACTAAGACAATATATTTTGACTCACACCACTTTATTGATTTCTAAGATGGACCCCATCAAGTATATCTTCGAAAAGCCAGCTCTCTCCGGACGAATAACAAGATGGCAAATGATCTTGACTGAATATGATATTCAATACACTACACAAAAAACAGTCAAAGGAAGTGTACTGGAGGATCCTTTGGACCATCAAGTTGTTGATGATTACCAACCCATGAACTTTGAATTCCCATATGAAACAACCGTTTGAAAATCATCAAACAATGAAGTCTCCATCAAACGTCTTTTATCCCACATGAAGGGAAAGGTAAACTTCAAGAAAACCTGAGAAGGGAGAAGTCACGGTCTTGCGACTGAGAGATAGGGTAAGGGAGTTTGTTACTTGAGGGGAAGGTATTAGCACCCCACACGTCCGTAGTACTCTATGCTATCCATTATTGTTATCTATCTTATGGGTGTGTTTAATTTATGCTTATTATTTACTACTGAGAAAGAATGCATGCAAAAAAAAGAGGAAAAGAATGTAGGGAAAATAAAATTGTACTCGCTTGGGCCCTATCCCAATGCCTACGTATCCTTTTTGAGTAATCAGAGCTACCGTAGTTCGGCTCATATGTTTTGTTTGTTTTGTGTTTTTTATGGACAATGTTAATTTCGCCTTCTGCCGCAGCTCGACCTTTGGAGACTTATGCGTTGGCACATAAGTAAATTAATCATGTCATTACCTGAAAATGGTTTTCTGAGAAAAGGTGCTCGAGCCCACAAAATGGTTTGAGTTGGTTTGTATTTTTGTTACCTTGAAAAAGGGTTTAAGTTTAATTAGCAAGTTTTTAATTTGCTATAAAGAAAGTTTTAGTTTTAGAATGCATATGATAAAGGGGTAAAAAAATAAGAGTCTAAGGGAGACTATCCTATTTTTAACCTAATGTTATCATAAAATGGTGGTCCTACGTCAAGGATGAAAGGGAAATGTCTACATAACGTTAACATGCATGGTTTGCAACCTAAGGTCTAACTTGCATCCGAACGGAGCGAGCGCATCCCACGGGAACATGGTATATACAAGGATAAAGAAAGCAAGCTTATAAGCTCAAGAGAGCACACCTAGAGAGATCCTATCTAGGTTAACATGCCAAAGAAAGTCTAACAAAACTATCCTATTGGGAACATGTAATGAGAGTGAAGTCGTGATCTCAATTTCTAAATTGAGTGACTTATCGATTAACAAGAAATAAAGGAAAGCGATAAAAATCCTATAGGGAGCATACACTGAGAGTGAAGTCGTGATCTCAATTCCTAAATTGAGTGACTCATCGATCAACAACCAAAGAAACAAACACAAGCACAACACATATAGCAAATGAAGTGCGGAATTGCTGCTACAGGTCTTTAAACAATGACTTTGAGCGCACGCTCTTTATTTCCTACTTCTCATGGTATCTAGAAAGAAATAAAATCCTACTTCTCATGATATCTAGAAAAGCAGTAAATAAATGCGATAAAGTGCGGAAATGAGGGATAAAATAAAGGTCACAATGATATCGAACAGAGAAAAATCGTTGCCTCTTCAAAGCCATGCAAGCAAAAAGAAAAATCTACTCAAAGCTTCCTCGAATTTCCTTGATGAAGATTGCACTCTAAATTACTTTGAATAACTTCTTGCACTCTCCGACAATCTCTTTTATTCAATAATATCACAGATAATTGTAATAACATTTTTCATATATTTTTATCAACAAAATTATGACAAGCAAGAAAAATAATAGGGAAACTAATTTCAAATTCTGATCAGAAAGGGTGCAGAGTTGAATCCAGGGATTACTTCAGCAAAGTGCAAAGCCCAATCTGCATGTGCCCAAAAAGAGTTTTTCAGCACGGTCTTGTTAAACCAAAAACAACCAATGATGGGCCCTGGAAATTTCAAATCGACCCAATACAATGCAACCCAAACGATTTTTTAACTATTATCCAGCCTTTGTTTATTAACAATATATTAAAATAAGAGAAAATGAAATAACAAAATACAAAAAAGAGAAAAAGGTGTGTTTTGTAGCTTATGAGGTTAGGGTTAAGCTTGTGTCTGATGATCTTCATTTAGAGAGCCTTCGTCTCTTCTCCAAACCAAACGGAACAACGCCATGATATAATGACTCCTTGCCGGTAACCATAGATCAATCCCACCATTTCAACTCATATTATCCTCTTCTCCGTGCTTCTGATCTATGTTCTTAAGACTTATCCTCAAATTTCCTGAATCTAACCAAGTGGGAAAACCCTAGGATCTTAAAAGTTGAATTAAGCGCCCACGCTGAACGATCTCGTTGCGAAATCTTAGGGATTCTTCTCCATATTACTCATCTTACACAGCGGCATCGAGAAGTCATGGAAGAGCACAGTGGAACGCTTACCACCCTAACGGCGAAGACGGTGGATCTGGTTGTATCTTCTCAAGTAACTCTGATCTTACCTTTGTTCTTCCTCTTCGCTTCTTCTTCTTCATTTCATATAACTCTTTCTGAATTCGTTGTTGTGGCGTTGTTGATGAATGTGAGAAATTGCAGTTGTGTTGTGCTGAATCGACGAAGACGGAAGCAGTGACAATAACGAAGAGTTTCGAGAGAGAGAGAGAGAGAGAGAGAGAGAGAGAGAGAGAGAGAGAGAGAGAGAGAGAGAGAGAGAGAGAGAGAGAGAGAGAGAGAGAGAGAGAGAGAGAGAGAGAGAGAGAGAGAGAAAGAGAGAGAGCAAAGAAGATGAAGGTTATGGTGATGTAGAGTTGGATATGATGAATAAATTGGCTTGGAGCAGAGCCTTGATTCACGGCTGAAGATGGTGATGATACAGAGAAAGAACATCAAGAGAGAACTTGTGGTGATTTTCTTCTGGTTTTCCTGTATGAATGAAAAAGATTGGAGATGATTGAAGCTTCGTGAAGACGCAATGAAGATACATGAATATGAGGGGTTGTTGGAATTGCAGTTCACAATTCAAAGAAGTTTGTATATGACGGTTGAAGAGAGTGAAGAATCGATGTGACAAAAGGTGGTTGAGGATGATGATGAGTGGAATGAGTGCTACAAGTTTGTGAAAGGATGAAGACGATGGATGGAGGAATCTCCTTGAGATTATGCAGAGAGTGGGGTTGAAAAAAGGTGAGTCCTCTAACTGATTTCTCTTTTTTTTGTTTAAACTGAATCATGAAATTCCTTTTTCTTCTCTTCTGAATTCCGTTGAGACTTCTCTCTCCCTTTTTTCTGTTATTTTGTTAGAGGTTGTTAGGATATGGTTACAGGGCTTTGGACAGTTAGAATTTTTTTTTGGCAGTGGTTTGGGATTTTGCTGTTATAGGTTAGTTAGAGGTTAGAGGGAATTCAGTTATGAGATTTTCGATTAGAATCTATTTGGAAGTTCTGTTTTGAAATTCTGTTATGCTATTTTTCTGTTAAAATTGTTGGAAGATTAGAGATCTATTAGGAAGTTAGTTAGGGTGGAGGTTAGTTTCTATTAATAGGCTAGTTTGAAAATTTGTTAGAATAGTTGGTAAAGAATCTGCTTTGGATTTTGTTACAGTTAGGAGGTTAAAAAAAACAGTTAGCTGGAAAATAAGCTAAAAGTTAGTTGAGATGTTAGAATGTTAGAAATATATTGACAGTTAGGATAGAAGCTGTTACAGAATAGCTGGGAACTGTTAGAGATATTAGGAAAAGCAATTAGAAGGGCGAGAGGGGTTATGACAGTTAGAAATTCTATTATTTCTGTTAGACTATTTCTATTTTCTATTTCTGGTTGAAAGTTGGCTAACTGGTATGTCTAGACATTTCATGACCCCCCTTTTTTTGTTCTTGCAGGACTATATATTACTGTTTAGAATTTTCTGTTTGAATGGTTTGGAGCTGAAGCTATCTGTTTTCTTCATATTTGAGAATTGTTTGGACTACAGGACAACATGGCAGCTAATGGTTAACTATTTTTATGCGGGGTTTGTTGATGTGAAGCAGGGCCGCAATTGTTTAGCGATAGCTCTTGAGCATGAAGGTGAAGAATTAAATAGGGGAAGAGATAAGGCAGAAATAGTGATCCTTGGAGCTTGAAGAATAATAGTTAATACAAGACTTTGTGCAATTTTAGTAGCTTAGGACCTTAGGAATTTTGTGTAGTTGTTTCTTTAGAATGTAATATGAATTTTTCATGGTTGCAAGTGTAAATGAATTTGGCGTTTGTAATGTCTTGTGATGGAATTTGAAATGCATAGAATTTTACGTGAAGGAACTTTGTAAGGACCCCGAATGGATTTAAATGTATATGGATGCTTCTTGGATTTTTCAACTTGAGTGAATATTCGTAGTGAACATGGACTTGAATGAAGTTGAATATCTTTTTATAATGAACTGATTAAGTGTTGAACATGACGAATAAGATGAAGATGATTATGATGAATGAATGCCTTGCACTTGTACTTTATTCCTTAAATATCAAGAAGTCCAAATGCATTCCCTTTCCAACCTTGCGAATTCCCAATGACTTTGATGAATTGAACCAAATTTGAATCCATGGAATCATTTAAATCCACATCAACCTTAATCCAAATTAGCTTGCCTGACAAGCAACAAAAAATTTGAGAGAATGATTCCTTGGTTATGATCCACGTCTTGAACTTGAATGAATATCTCAAATTAATATTCCATTCTCAATTAAGCCCTATATTCAATTCAATTTTCCAATCTTAAGCAAACTTTCATGACAAGCAACAAGTATGCAAAAGAATAATGATGCCTTTATTACAATGAATCTGCAATCTCATCTCTTGCACCATGGCATGCATTTCGCAATCCAATTCCACTATATCTCGACTTGATGAGTAACAAAATAGCTAATGCCTTGAATCTTTGATAAAGGTAGGACTTGGAGCATAGTAGGATACATTGACATGAAACCCAATGAGCCTCAGTTGTTGAACATCAACAAGCTCAAATATGATGAGTAACTAACCCTAGTTCACTTGCTTTTGATGAAATTTGATAATCAAAGTAGCTTGAGGTGATGGAGGGAACCAAAACCTTAGCTTACAATTAAACTCTTGATGAAGCATTACACGTTAAAACACTAGCATCTTTCCCTTGATGAAGCATAACAAGTTAAAACCCTAGCATTTTTCCCTGCTTGTTGAAGAAGCAGCTTGAATCTCTTGGATTAAGATAAGAGTCTCAAAGCCTTGAAGAAACCCTAATTTTCCAATTCAATACTTGGAGGAGAAACAAAAAAATCAGCCTTATTCGATATGTGCATCTCAAAACACTAGGAAACCCTTAGCTTGCATGACCATTGAACTTATGCTAAATTACTAATCAATGATGCATGATGCGTAAAAAATGACCTAATGGAAATTATATACATGAGGAAAGTGCGAGATGCATAAGCCAGATAAAAGTGAGAGGGGTAGGACAAATTTGGGGTATTACAACTGCCCCTATTTAATCGTCTGAAACCTGAAAGTACGATTGGCGCGTGCCTTTCGGAAGTTCAAGGTTGAAGGTGATTAAATACCAATGCCAAAAATTTATTCTGAAAGATGGTGGTAAGTATTTGTTTATTTTTGCAACATCCACTGAGTAATTAAAATAGGTGGGACCAAACCGGAGATATACGTCGATCAGGACACGACGACATCCGAGTACATCGACCAGGACACGATAACCGAGAGGAAAACACCGATCAGGACACGGTGATTGAGATGGAGACATCGATAAGGAGATGATGATTCGCAGGAGAGGTATCGACTAGGACACGATAACCAAAAAAAAGACATCGATCAGGAAATGATGGCTAACAGGAATACATTGATCAGGACACGATGATTTATATGAGAGGTATCAATCAGGACATGATAACCAAAAGGAATACATCAATCAGGACACGATGGCTAAAAGGAATACATTGATCAGGACACGATGATTCACAAGGGAGGTATCGATCAGGACACGATAACCAAAAGGAAGACATCGATATGGACACGATGCATGTTTAGAAATTGACACGACGAGTATTGGAAGGTAGCATGATGCAAACACAAAGGCATAAAAGACTTGTAACATGGCGTGATGCCAATACAAGGAAGAGATCAGACTTTTAATGTAGCACGATGCCAATACAAGGGAGAGACCGAGCTTGTAACATAGCATGATGCCAATACAAGGGAGAGATCAGACTTGTAACATAGCACGGTGCTAATACAAGGGAGAGATCAAGGTTGTAACGTAGCATGATGCCAATACAAGGAAGAGATCAGACTTGTAACGTAGCATGATACCAATACAAGGAAGAGATCAGAATTGTAACGTATCGTGATACCAATACAAGGAAGAGGTTAGACATGTAACGTAGCATGACGCCAATACAAGGAAGAGATCATACTTGTAACGTAACATGATGCCAATACAAGGAAGAGATCAGACTTGTAACGTAGCACGATGCCAATACAAGGAAGAGATCGCACTTGTAAAGTAGTGTGATGCCAATACAAGGAATAGATCGAACTTGTAACGTAGCATGATGCCAATACAAGGAAGAGATCAAACTTGTAATGTAGTGTGATGCCAATACAAGGAAGAGATCGAACTTGTAATGTAGCCTGATGCCACTATAAGGAAGAGATCAAACTTGTAACATAGTGTGATGCTAATACAAGCGAGGTATAACACAGACGAGTGTTTGAATCGATACGGATGAGTATCAAAGAAAGGTTAAACACGAACGAGTGTTTGGGAAACTGACATGGATGAGTGTTTATGAGTTGACATAGACGAGTATCGAAAGAAGATACAGATGGGTATCAAGGAAGGGTTTAAATGGACGAGTGTTTGGGAACCTGACACGGATGAGTGTTTATGATTTGACAGAGACGGGTATCGAAATAAGATACAAACGGGTATCAAGGAAGGGTTTACACGGACGAGTGTTTGGGAACCTGACACGGATGAGTGTTTATGAGTTGACACAGACGAATATCGAAAGAAGATACAAACGAGTATCAAGGAAGGGTTTACACAGACGAGTGTTTGGGAAACTGACACAGACGAGTGTTGGAACACTGAGTTATTTGTCAGATGGGAACTGACTACCAGACGAGAACTGGGTTGAGAATGACAAGGTGTATTGATTTTATTGGGAATTGATGGAGGTGAAGGAAACCAGCTGGTGATTTGGAAAATGATACCCTCTTATGGGGATGTATTATTTTCCTTGAATGATTCAGGTCTTTCATGTAAGGTACCTGATCTGGCTTATGCTTCATATGCATGTTTGAATTTCTTTTGCCGCAAAGATCCACTCTGATGGATCAGCTACGCGCTTCTGAAGATGCAATGTTATTTAATGATAACTATATGAAATGCAAATAAATAGACTTAATGGAGATAAGAAAACGCCCGTTGAGGACCATTGCTTATCACTGGGGATGCCAATACATATCGGTGCTGGAAACCTGCAGTACCAAAGATCACTGGGGATACTGATAAGAATTTGCATTGGGGAGCCCATGATACCGAAGATTGTTGATGACTCCGTTGAAAATTGAATTGCTTACGAAGCGAGTCTTTAGGTACGCTTCTGAATTCTGAATTGCGTTATTGGGGAAGAGATACTTTGGCCAGACTTCCATACATCCTGAACCGTTGAGAGGGTGGTAGAGCTGAATATGCCGAAGAATGGGTACTGGACAATGGATCTCTTCGAACACATGCCCCAAGTTTACGCCACACTGGGTATTTACCTCTTGAATCACTTGGGGATGAAAGATGGGCATGGACACCTGCGAATACCCCGGTTTAGCTCTACGATTGCCCCAATTTATTTCCACATGGGATGTACTTGCGCGTGCCAAGTCAAACGACAACTTCAAACTTTCTGCATTCACTTGGGGAATCAGGTTTGAAATTGTATGTAGTAAATAAAGGCGACTTTTTGCATGCCAGTCAGGCTAGGGTGACCGTTGTGATACTTCTAGCTTGATTGTAGTCGTCTCGTACAACAATATTGGCATGAACAACTTTGCGAGTATGGATACAGAATGCCCATGTCTGGAGGATTTCTGAATGAATATGTTCTGAATAAAAGACTAGAATATTCATGCCATAATACGATATGAGGTGGCCTTCCACAATGTCTTGAGTCACAAAATAAACTACTCTTGATTACAGCCTTCTTGGAGAGATTTGTCGAATCTCGACATAACTTTCTCAGGTTGAATGAAATATGAATAGATTTTGATGTGATAGCCCTTGATCGACGACAACTTGAAGATATTTATCGACATGATAGCCTCTGATTGACAGCTATGAGGGAATGCCCCAGATTTGGCTGAGTGCAGAGAGATTGACTCTCGACTTGATTGCCCCAGATTGGCGGAATCTGCTAACTTCATCCTTGAAGGGTACTCAGACTATGAAGCACCAAGATGTTTTCTCTGGACATAATCACTGGTTAACATGCCCCTGGATAAGTCATTTCTCTTGTGACAACTGACTCTTACTTTAAAAGAGTATTCAAGCCTCTCTTCTCTGACAAGATTGAGCTCTTTACCGATTGTTCATTGTGTAAAATAACTTGATGTCAATCAATTGTTTTGTATGCAGAAGAATGTTTATTATGAGAATGATAATTCTAATGCAACACATATGTAAGTCTTGAAGTTTGAAAAAACTTTGAATGAAATGAAGTCACAACTCTGTTGTGAACGAGGCACTAGCTAGAGAGCAACATTTGCAAATTCATTTTTTATGAAAGATAATTCAAGCATATGACGCAAACACAGATATTTAAACATACCTCTTAGGATTCAGTTAAACGTTATCTCGTTGTAGCACGCTTTCAAATTGACCCATGCTTCAGTTAGGACTTTTAAGGGTTGTAATGTGTCCTAGTTCACGGTTTTAGAAAAAAGGATTTAAGGCTCAAAATTATTTGGTGCCCACCCGTTCTCCATGATGTTCTCCATTCCTACATTCAGTTGACCCGATGCAAGCATTTATCTCTCAAGAAGAGTTTACGTTGGTTGAGGAACCACAGAGGTTTCTTGGACACGATAGTCACTTCA